AAATTTCCAAACGACTCTTCGCCACCACCCACACCCAGCTTCCCGCCCTATGACGTTCGGACACTTCACTTCGTGGCATGCGGACGACCGTGGCTACTATTCAGGGCCCCGCGGCCGACGACGACGGCGTGCGCGCGCGAAGAAAAAACGAATGTGTCCCGCATGGTATTATTTGACAGGGATGATGGCCCTGGCAGGTGCGCAACCGTTGTTGCAGAAGTTCGAAAAAGTTGCTCGCAAAAGCCCGTTTGACAGAAATGTTTAAAAAGTGTTGGGTTTCCTACGAATCCGCAAGAGCGCGCGGGATGAAATTTTGACAATTTTTTTTGAAAAACCATTGGTTTTTTGATGTTTTTATGTTAAAATCGCTACGAAAACTAAGGTTTTGGAAGGATTTCGTCTTGCGCGCGCGAATGTCCACTTTACCTTATTTTTTGCAAGGGATTCTTGAAGTTTGATTATGTTAGAACAAGAAATGTCCACTTTACCTTGTTTTTTGCAAGGGAAAGCGGGGGACAACAAAACAACCGGATCTGGATCACATCGTTTTGCCTGAGGCTTCCTCACGAAAATGATGAAAACGTGGCTGCGGCCTAGGCGCGGCGGGGGGGGCGTGCACCAGGGGTCCCAACAATAATTATTCTTAAGAAGAAATAATGTTCAACAACAACAACAACAACAACAACAACAACAACAACAACAACAACAACAACAACAACAACAACAACAACAACAACAACAATCACAACAATCACAACAATCACAACAACGACAACTGCAGCAGCAACAACAACAAGAAGAACGGCAAACATAACAACCATAACAACAATAACAGCAAGAACAACAATAACGACCACAACTATAACGATGACAAGATAAGCACAAATACCACCACCATCAGCATCATCATCACCACCATCATAGTCATCATATTCATCCGCCGCATAAACGTAATCACCGCCACCACTGCCACCGCCACCACCACAACCGCCATCATCATCACCACCACCATCACCATCATCAGAATCATCAGCATCAGCATCATCACCACAACTCGCATTATCATCAGCATCCATTGTTATCGACATCTTCATATTAATCGCCGTCATCGTCATTGTCGTAGTCGTCGCCATCGTGCATTTGATCTTAATTGTGCTTGTTTACTCGTCTTGCCCTCCTCCTCCTCCTCCTCCTCCTCCTCCTCCTCTTCCTCCTCTTCCTCTTCCTCCTCTTCCTCCTCCGATTATTCCTCCTCCTCCCTCCACCTCCCTCCTCCTCCTCCTCTTTCTCCTCTTCCTCCTCCTCCTCCTGCCTCCACCTCCACCTCCTCCTCCTCCTCCTCCTCCTCCTCCTCCTCCTCCTCCTCCCTCTCCTCATCCTTCTCATCCTTCTCCTCCTCTTCCTCATCCTCCCTTCTCCTCCTCCTCCTCCTCCTCCTCCTCCTTCTCCTCCTCATGTTCCTCCTCGTTTTCCTCATCACGTTTCTTCTCATGCTACTCCTTGCTGTTGCCCATCCTCCCCCCACCTCCTCCCCTCAACCTCCCCTACCCCTTTTCCCCCCTTCCCTGAAGGCGCGCTTTCGGCGCAGCGCGCAGCGTCAACAGCGCATGATCGGCGGCGTTTCGATTGCCAGCTCGTTACGGATTGGCAGATTCTGGACCTTGAACGCCGATGGAGGGATCGCAGCCGTGTCGACACGACACGAACGTGACGTACGGGAGCGGGAGCGCCAGATCTGCCGGCAATACAAAGGACCCAAATCTCCGACGATCTGATTTTTCAGCCCAGGCGTTTTTATTCGATTTGAGACATATGGGGCCGTCATCGGGCCCTCGGACCACTAAAAATGAATCCGGGGCGAAAAACTGCCCTTCGTGAAGGACTGGGAACTCGGGAACCGGGACATCTGGGGCCGCGCGACTAAAAAAATCAGATCGCCAGATTTCTGGGGACAAGAGAAGCTCTGCGACCAGAATGTTGGCGTGCAGTGCGAGTGACATCCGACGCCGTGACTTCGTAAAGTAGGGCCGGCTCTCATTCACGGGATCCTTCTCTGGCGGCCCTGGCGCCCAGAAGCGGCATCCAAAGACCGAACCCGAAGGAAAACGCCTGGAAAGAAAACGCCTGGATCCTGGAGAAAGGCCCAAACATATGAAGCTTCGTGTACCGCGAGGCGAGTGCGAACAAGCAAGGAGGGAAAGTGAGGGAGGTGACGACATGGGGCGGGTACACCATGCGGACCCTGCCACTCGGGCCTTGGGTGGAGCTCCCTATGGGGCCACGGCACGCGTGAGGGGTGTGCCGAATCCAATGCGGGTACGCCATGCGGACACTGCCCCTGGGGCCTTCGGTGGAGCTCTCTTCGGGATCACGAAAGGTGTGAGGGGTATGCCGAATCGGGTGCGGGTACGCCATGCGGACCCTGCCGCTGGGGCCTTCGGTGGAGCTCCATTCGAGGACACGAAACATGTGAGAGGAGTGCTGAATCGGGCGCGGGTACGCCATGCGGACCTTGTCGCTGGGGCCTTCGGTGGAGCTCCCAATGTGGTCACGAAACGTGTGCTGAGCATTTTCTTAGGGTGGAGGGCTCAGGGTGAAATACATATGGGCTTTTGCACTTCGAAAATCTATCCGTCTTGTGATTCACCTATTCCAGATTGAAACCTCGAAAATAAATCGAAACGGCATTTCAAATTTCACCCTTTGCCTCCACCCGGAGAAAATGCTCGGGTGTGAGGGGTGCGCTGAATTTGGTGCGGGTACGCCATGCGGACCCTGCTGATGGGGCCTTCGGTCGAGCTCCCTATGTGCCACGAAACGTGTGAGGGGTGTACAGACATCGGGCGCGGGTACGCCATGCGGACACTGCCGCTGGGGCCTTCGGAGCTCCCTTCGGGACCACGAAACGTGTGAGTGGTGTGCCGAATCCGGTGCGGGTACGCCACGCGGACCCTGCCGCTGGGGCCTTCGGTGGAGCTCCTTTCGGGGCCACCAAACGTGTAAGGGGTGTGTTGAATTAGGTGCGGGCAACCCATGCGGACCCTGCAGCTGGGGCCTTCGGTGAAGCTCCCTGTGAGGCCGCGAGAGGTGTGCCGAGTCGGGTGTGGGTAAACCATGCGAACCCTGCCACTGGGGCCTTCGGAAGGGCTCCTTACGGGCCCACGAAACGTGTGGAGGTGTGCCGAATGGGGGTACCAGTACGCCATGAGGACCCTGCCGCTGGGGCCTCTGGTGGAGCTCCCTGCAGGGCCACAAAACGTGCGAGGGGTGCTGAATCGAGTGCGGGTACGCCATGCGGACCCTGCCGCTGGGGCTTTCGGTGAAGCCCCCTTATGGGGCTACGAAACGTGTAACTGGTGTGCCGAATCGGGGGCGTGTACGCCATGCGCGCCTATGGGGCCACAAAAGTGTGAGGACTGTGCCGAATCGGGTGCGGGTATGCATGATGGTGATGAACGAACGAACGAACGAAGCCGCGCCCTGACGGCGCATTGGCACACAGATGGAAAATGCTGATCACATGCGTGCTGGCATGCAGAGAAAAAAACTAAAAATTGCACAGTGCCTCGGGGGACCGTCGTTGTAGCCTTTGTTTCCAACTAGGTGCGATGGGGAAACTGCGCACTTTGAGAGAAAGGGAGGGGAGGAGGCGAACGAGGCGAGGGAGAAGGACGGGGGGGCGGGGCAATCAAGAGAACAACAACGCTACTTTGCACAATGTTGAGCTACAGCCTCACGCCATTCAGAGCAGAAGCAGGGATGGGAGGAGGGAGGAGCGGAAGGAGGAGGAGGAGGAGGAGAAGGAGAAGGAGAAGGAGAAGGAGGAGGAGGAGAGGAGGAGGACACGGGGCGCTGTTTCTTCAAAACGAGAACCCAACACCACAAGATGGTTGGGAAAAAAACATCGCGAAGAATCAACAACCGAGACCTAAACCCAATCTTTCTGTGGCATTTCTCGGGCCGAATCGATCCGTGATGTCTCAGGACCCGAAACCGGGCAAATCCTCGACGCTGCGACATCGCATGAAGGTGCGCTCGCTTTGCCAATAACGACCTGCGTGCCACGGAATGGGTGCACAGAAGTCTGCGCAAACGCTGCGAAAGACGGGCCCGAAACAAGGCGAAAAGAAGCGTTGATCGGGTCCGAAACTGAGTATCGTTTAACCGATCCCTATCCCCAGCGGCGTGGCCTGGGCCCCACTGGCCGATTTACCCCCCTAGATGGGGACATAGGTCGTTTCCTTCGGGTTTCGAGGGGTGTATCCCCAGCTGGGGTGGTAATTTGGTGGGGGTCTCGAAGTGGATGGGGATGGGGATGGGGATCGGTTTAACGACACGACAAACCGGGCGAAAACGCCCAGTGGGGGAAAAAAAAAAAAAAAAAAAAAAAAAAAGAGCCGCCCAGATCTGAAAGAAGAGTCACGACGCGCAGCACCGGCGGGCGCAAAACACGCACAGGGCCACCTCCAGGCGCTGGGCGCAAGGCGAGGGCGCCGAGCCAGAGGGGTGCGCTGCTCTGGCACAAGAGCCCAGAATCGAACCGCTAAGTCAGATCGGCGATCGGAACGAATCGGATCGGCGGAGATCGGCAGCCAGGTCGGGAGCAGTCGAATCAGCAGAAGTCGGCAGGGCAGGAAGGCCTCCGTTGACCGACCGAAATGAGCATCGGAATCAGAAGCCGAAGCGAATCGGAGTCGGGATCGATCGAAATCGAATCGGGTCGAACCGAGTCTGTCGGAGTCAAAAAAAGGGCCCCGTGCACACTTTCCCCCTGGGTCGTAGGCGACCCGAGGAGGAGGAGGATGGAGGAGGAGGAGGAGGAGGAGGAGGAGGAGGAGAAGGAGGTGGAGGAGGGGGAGGGGGAGGAGGAGATGAAGGAGGAGGAGGAGGAGGAGGAGAAGGAGGAGGGAGGAGGAGGAGGGATGAAGAGGAGGAGGAGGAGGAGGAGGAGGAGGAGGAGGGAGGAGGAGGATGAAGGATGGAGGAGGAGTCGCCCTGGCCTTCAGGCCCGGCTCGCCCAGGAAAGGGCGCAGCGTCACGTGCGGGAAGGGCAGCGCCTGTGGGGGTCGTCGACGGCGCGGACCGAGCACCCAGATCTGCGCCGGTGTTCGGCGGCGAGCGAGGGGGGGGAAGTTGACCGTTTTTTATTCGGCGTTTCGACATTGGGCGGAAGAGGGGGGGGTCTGGCTCCAGACCTCTGCTTAGTGCGACTGTTTGCAACAGTGATGCAACTGGGGGAGACTCCACTCGCTCGAAACGGGCGCCAAAAAACAGCCAACATCTACTCCATGGGGAAGGGGGAGGGGGGGTTGGGGACCTTTGCCGATCGGCAAAACAATAAATGAAAGACGATCACAAGTGAGAAGGAGAAGGCCTTCTCAGAATGTTCGGAAGGCCCCCGGCTTTCTGAGAAGATGTCTGAGCCTTCCCCGAAGACACAGAAAAACGTCTCAGAAGGCGCGAGGGCTTCTGAGAAGTCCCGCTGCCCTCTGAGAAGGCTTTTGCCTCCTCGTTTCCCCCCCTCGCTCGCCGCCGAGGTATGATAGTTTCGATCTGGGCGTTTTCCCTCGACTCCGGCATCTGGGACCCGCTGTCGGACCCCAGTTGGCGGCGCGCAGAAGGGAGGAGGGTGAGGGGGGAAGGCTCCTTAGAAAGAGGCTGCTTCCTAGAAGGCGCTGTCCTTACATCTGCAGAGAAGGCCCGCGCCTTCTAAGAAGCAGGGGTTCTTCTAAGGAGCCTTCCCCCCTCCGCTTACCCTCAGGTCGGGCATGTCCCCCTACAGGCGGATTCTGGACGAAAAATTAAAAACACTCCAAAAAATACTAAAAATATATATATATATATATATATATATATATATATATATATATATATATTATATATATATATTATATATATATATATAAAAAACAAAAAAAAAAAAAAAAAAAAAAAAAAAAAAAAAAAAAAAAAAAAAAAAAAAAAAAAAAAAAAAAAAAAAAAAAACTATATATAAAAAAACAGGCTATTGTTTGACTATTTTTGAATATTCCTCCTGTAGAGGAACAGGCCCGACTGAATCCTAAGAAGCCTTCCCCCCTCCGTCTGCCCCGCCTCTGCGCGTGGCCGACCCGGGGGGCCGTCAAAAGTGGAGCCAGGGCGCGCCAGGGGTCCACGAGACCTCTGGGGCCGCGCGCGGAGAGAACAAAACAAAAACAAAACAAAAAGAGGCCGTCGGAGGTCTGGAAGGAGCGGAGACCGAACTGGCTACTCTGGATGGGGCACCAGTCGCCCCCCCCCCAAACCTTGGATCCGCTGCGGGGTGTTGGGCACGTGCTGTCGGCATGGGCGGAGGGGGGGTTGGAGGAGGAGGACGAGGAGGAGGAGGAGGAGGAGGAGGAGGACGGAGAGGGTGGGATTGGGCAAGCTCGGTCGGAAGGTTTATCACCCCCCCTTGATAAATACCCCGTCCAGAGTAACCAAATCGACGCAGCGGGCGCAAAGTTTATAAGGCGTTGCCTTCGAAGCATGCGTTGCCTCCAAATCATGGTACGGCGTGGTTGCCAGGGAAACCAAAACGTACCGATATCGCTACTCCCAGGACCTCTCCTGGGGTGCGTTCTGACGAGGATTTCGAAGCGAATCCAGCAGTGACGACGAGGGCCTCGCAAGAGGCCGAAAAATGGGAACGGTATGGGTACCTTTTCCTCCTCTGACTTGCCGCCAGCCAGAGCAAGATGGAACGGAGAAAGCTGGACAGCTTTCCGAGTGCGTTGCCTGAGGGGATCTTTTGGAATCCGGCCGGCATCTTACGTTCAGCCGAGTGGGAAGCACCCTTTCGCACCATGGCATGCCGGGGAAGCCCATCCGCGGGAGCGTTGTCAAGAGCCAGGTACGCCTCACGCGGGCCAGCCGGCTCGACGCCTGGACACGGACCACGGAGACGAGGGCGCCCCGGGCAGGCGTGGGGGAGACGTGGCTCCTGCTGGCTCTGGCGACGCGCCGTCCGCACACTTCCGCCAAGCAGGCAGGGCCGCAGCCTCGTGGGAGCCTGGCAGTGACACCGTGGCGCCTGAACGACACCGGGTCGCGCTGCAGTTCGACGTCGCGGCATTCTGTTTCACCTCGCCCGCGCGCCGTCGGGCGCAAGGCTTGCCCGCCTAATTGCTCGAAGTCTGGGGATCCAGAGTCGACGGTCGAGGCTTTTTGAATATTTGTTCCCTACCTAGGCTCTGCCTAGAAGGGTTCTTACTCTCTTTCTTAAAGGGGCCGGGCAGTGCACACCGCCCCGGGCGGTTCCCCCAGTATCCCCCCCGCGGTTCCCCCAGTTACGTCCCCTTAGCTTAGCGTTTCTTATATCATCTTAGCTTAGCTTACTTCATCTTAGCTTAGCTTAGCTTCATCGTAGCTCAGGTTTGTCTTAGCTTAGCTTACCTTCATCTTAGCTTCGCTGAGCTTTAGCATAGCAGAGCACAGCATAGCATAGCATAGCGTAGCATAGCACAGCGCAGCACAGCATATCATAGCATAGCCCAGCATAGCATAGCATAGCGCAGCATAGCATAGCATAGCATAGCATAGCATGGCGCAGCAGCACAGAACAGCATAGCACAGCGCAGCATAGCATAGCATAGCATTGCAGAGCATAGCATAGCATAGCAGCAAAGCAGAGCATAACATAGTACAGCGCAGCATTGCATTAGCATAGCATGGCATAGCATAACATAGCCAAGCATAGCATAGCATAGCATAGCGCAGCGCAGCATAGCATAGCATAGCATAGCATAGCATAGCATAGCGCAGCATAGCACAGCGCAGCATGGCATAGCATAGCTTAGCATAGCCTAGCATAGCATAGCATAGCATATAATTGCATAGCATAGCATAGCATAGCATAGCATAGCGCAGCATAGCATGGCATGGCATAGCATAGCATAGCATAGCATAGCATAGCAACTAATGCTGCTTTCCTAGGGGCTCCAACTTCTAGGTAGGGTCGCACTGGGGTAATGAGCGTTTCTGATCTTCTTCTGGCCCTCTGGAGGCTTCCAGAGGCTTCCGGAAGCCTGAAGACCTCCAGAACCTTGTCCGCCCAGTCGCGTCAGTCCAGCCGCGTCAAAGCACCCTGACATGTAGAACAACGCACAAGGTGCGGAATACCCGTGCGATTTTTCCCAACATAATCCGCCACGAGTATCGTTTAACCGATCCCCATCCCCAGCGACGTGGCCTGGGCCCCACTGGCCGATTCACCCCCTAGATGGGGATACAAGCCGTTCCCTTCGGGCTTCGAAGGGTGTATCCCCAACTGGGGGGGGTTATTCGGTGGGGGTGTCGAAGGGGATGGGGATGGGGATGGGGGTCGGTTTAGCGATACTGACACCATGCCACTTCCATGCCCGCTTCACACTGGTGCCCTGTGCGCCCGAGCCTGAAGCAAGCAGGGAACTCGTCCCGACCTTCGGCGTCCGGGGGCCGCTTCCCGGAGCCCTGGGCCGCCTGGGAGCGGTTCCGAATACACCGAACGATCCTGCAAGGAAAGGGAGGAGGAGGAGGAGGAGGAGGAGGAGGAGGAGGAGGAGGAGGAGGGGGTCGAGAGCTCTTGGGGGCCCGCGCCAGGAAAGGAGGCGCGACTTCTATCGACGGCCTGTCCCGCGAGCTTGCGTTGGTGTTGGTTCAGAACTTTCACGGGTGTTTCTTGGGTATTTTGAATTTTGTTGGGGGACTTTTCGGCGCCCCCTGGGGCCTTTTGAAATTGAGGTCTCCACATGGCCGTTCGGGTTTCCTGTCCTGGGCGTTGTCTTTGGACCGTCCCGGGGCCGTCTCGGGTGGTCTTGTGGAGGCCGGGGGCCTGGGTGCCACCCGCACCGATCCCGCCCGGGCCTATGCAAGTCACAGAAACGAGGGATACGCCCTCCTGGCCAGGCCTGGACGGCGCACGAACGGATCCAGGGACCAGGGTGCGCCGGGCCAGGGTCGGTGCGGGCGAATACTTGGCCAGCCTGCCACGATGACAGGCGCCCCTTGCCTCTTCAGCCCCCCCATCCCCGCTTCCACCACCTCCCCCTCCCCCATCCTCATTCATCCCACTCCCTTTTCCCCCCGCATCCTTCTCGTCTCGTCCTCCCCCCCCATCCCTCCCCTCCCCATCTCCTCCTCGTTTTCCACGCCTCCTCCTCCTCCTCCTCCTCTCCAACAGCCGACGCCGACGGCGCCGAGGGCGCTGGAGAGCGCCAGCGCAAGACATGCCAAAGACCCCGCGCTGCACAACAACAGAATAAATCCGCCCAGCCCCCGTGTGGGGCCACCAGGCTGTAGGCCGAAGTTTCGCAGTTTCCTGTGCCAGTTGCAGTTTCCAGTTCCCATTGCCACAATTATGGTTGTTGCTGTTTGTTGTTCCTTGTAAACCTGTTGTCGCTTACTGTTCCTTGTTGATGGACCGCGCGAGGGGGGAGGCCCGAAACGGGCATTTTACCCCGCCCTGAGCGTGTTTTCTGAATCGCTGGGGGGGGTACACACTGATACCCCTCACGCAGATCGGCGGGGTCAGGGTCTAAAAATGCAGAAAGGATTTGCCAAATTTCTGAAATTCGGTGGCACCCCTCACGCAAATCGGCGGGGTCCAGGTCCAAAAACACATGGGATTTGCCACATTTCTGAAATCCGGTGGCACCCCTCACGCCGATCGGCGGGGTCTCGCTCCAAAAACAAAGGATTTGCTACATTTCTGGCAGTCGGTGGCACCCCTCATGCAGATCGGTGGGGTCAGGCTCCAAAAACGAAGGCGATTAGCCACATTTATGACGTTCGTTTGCACCATTCACGCAGATCGACGGGGACAGAATCCAAAAACAAAAACGATTAGCCACATTTCCAAAAATTCTGTGGCACTCTTCACCAGATCGGCAGGGTCAGGGTCCAAAAACACAGTGGATTTGCCACATGTAAAAAATCCGACGGCACCCCTCACACAGATCGGCAAGGTCAGGCCCCAAAGAAAAGGAGATTCGCCACATGTCTGAAATCCGGCGGCACCCCTCACGCAGATCCGTAGGGCCAGGGCCCAAAAGCACTAGGGTTTTGCCACATTTCTGAAATTCGGTGGCACCCGTGGCGCAGATCCGCAGGGTCAGGGTCGAAAAACAAACAAGTCCCGACACTGCTTCACGGCGGCGTCCAGACCTCATGATTTAGCATTTGCACATCCCCTGATCTGAGACAGGGGGCCGGCGGCATGGGGCACAGCCCTTACGGATAACATATCGCGAAAAATCACCACCGGAGCCCTGAAGCCCATTTGTTTGCGGCATTTGTCGGGCTCAATCGATCCGCGATGGTCACGCGGACCGACACGGGGCGATTTTCTCACGCCCCAAAATTGCCTGAAGGTTCGTTCGTTTTGAATTCACGGCTTGCGGACCACGCGAGGAACGCTCGGCGTGGGAAAATTCCTCGGCGACGTACCGAACGCACCTACAACGACTGATCAAAACAGGTGCCCCGAGCTATTACGGGCGATGACGCGACGCGGACCCACGTTTGTCGCGGGAGCCACAAGGGGAGCTCGCGCGCCGCGGGACCCACAGGACACCGATAGGAGGGCGAAGGCGGGATGGACGGAGGCAGGCCATAGGTTCGATGGGGACCAGGGCGGGATGAAGCAGAGACGGAGGATCAAGGGATGGTGGGACGTCGTCTAAGCCGCAGCAGCAGGAAGGGCAAGGAGGAAAAGCACGACGACAAAGGAGGGACGAGGAAGGGGGGATGACTACTATGCTCGCACGCATTAGCAGCGGCATCCCCAAAAAGGTCATTGATGGATTCTGCGCAAGAGCTGAACGAGGCCGAGCTGCACTGCTAGCAGCTCGTCCTGTCTTTTGCGCTGTCCACTGCGGGTGTTCCACGCGCGCAGGCGTGCCGCCAGGGCCGCGGGCGGCCCGCGCAAAGGAAACGCTAGGCCCGGGCCCCGCATCATCGGGATGTGGTCGGTCGCGGCCGCCCTTGGAATCAGCAGGTCCAGATGCAAACGCAGGACGTCCAGGACGTCCGCGTCCTTGCACCCAGCGCCGACGACGACCCCGCCGTGCATGGTCTGGCTCTGCGGGGCCATGGAGCTCAGGACCTGGGCGCGAGAGACGGCCAGGGGCCTGTGCGCGTGACCCTGCGCTTGCGAAAGTCGGACGGGCACGAATGTGGCGATAAATTCCCATATCGCAGCAGCCCCCTAAGGATGGCGAGGTCGAAGCTGAGTCCGCGTGAGTCGTCACTGTTCCGGCCGTCCCAACAGCCCTCGACAGTGGCGGCAGCTTCACGCTTCGCAACCCACCTGGGATGGCGAGGTCTCATCCGAGTCCGCGCAAGACGTCACTGCACTGGCCCCCCAGCGGCCCTCGAAAGCTGCGACAGTTTCACGCTTCGCTGCCTCCCACGGATGGCGAGGTCCAATGTGAGTTCGCGTAAGACGTCACTGCGATCGATGCCCCCGCAACAGCCGTCGAAAGAGGCGACAATGTCACAGTTCGCAGCACGCAGGGAAGGCGAGGTCGAATCTGAGTCTGCATTAAAAAATGTCATTTTACTGGGCCCCCAGCAGCCCTCGAAAGCGGCGACCATTTCACGCTTCGCAGCCTCGCAGCCCCTAGGGATAGCGAGGTCTAGTCTGAGACCACGTACGACGTCACTGCGCTGCTCCGCCCCCAGCAGCCCTCGGAAGTAGCGACAGTTTCGCAATTTGCAACCCACCAGGGATGGCGAGATCGAATTTGAGTCCGCGTGAGATGTCACCACGCTCGCCCCCGAGCGGCCCTCGAAAGTGGCAACAGTTTGACACTTCGCAGCCCCCCAGGGATGGCGAGGTCTAGTCTGGGTCCGCGTGAGACGTCACTGCGCTGCCCCACCCCCCCAGCAGCCGTCGAAAGTGGCTGTGCTTGTGACCCTGTACGTGCGAAACCGCGTGAGATGTCACCGCGTTCGCCCCCGAGCAGCCCTCGAAAGTGGCAACAGTTTGACACTTCGCAGCCCCCCAGGGATGGCGAGGTCTAGTCTGGATCCGCGTGAGACGTCACTGCGCTGCCCCACCCCCCCAGCAGCCGTCGAAAGTGGCTGTGCTTGTGACCCTGTACGTGCGAAAATCGAATGGGCTCGAATGTGACAGCAAATTCCCACTTCGCAGCAGCCACCCGGAGATGGAGAGGTCTACTCTGAGTTCGCGTAAGACGTCACTGTGCTGGCCCCCTCAGCAACCCTCCGAAGTGGCAACAGTTTGACACTTCGCAGCCCACCAGGGATGGCGAGATCTAGTCTGAGGCCTCGACAGACGTCACTGCGCTGGCCCCCCCAGCAGCCGTCGAGAGTGGCGACAGTTTCTCAGCTCGCAGCCCCCAAAGGATGATGAAGTCATGTAGGATGACGATGCGAGAGGCATGCTTGCAGGCTGGTGCGAGCCGCGAGGGAGGGGAAGAGAGCAGAACGGAGGCGGGAATGAGAAGACGCGACCCCACGCCCAGATCTGAGGGGACGCCTGGATCTGAGGGGACGCTGGCGCCGCCAGGCGACAGAGGACGAGGCGCGCCAGGGCCAGCTGAGCCCCTGCGCTCCTCGCCCTGCGCTCCTCGCGCCCGCTGGCACGGCTGCGGCCGCGGGCTTCACCAACGGCCCTTGGCCACCCTGCTGCCCCCCAGCCCCTTCAGGGACAACGACGACAGCGACGACGACGGCAACGACGACGACAACAACGACGACAACGACGACGACGACGACGACAACGACGACGACGACGACGACAACGACGACGACGACGACGACGGCAAGCAGGTGCGCAGCGGCGGCAGAGGGCCGAAGCTGGCCGCCTGTTGGAACTGCTCGCGCAGCCGCGCCCTGGCGCCGGGCCTCCGCGGACACGCGACGGCGGCGGCGGCGGCGACGGCGACGGCGACGGCACCAGCGCCGACGACGACGACGACGACGACGACGGCGACGACGACGAAGACGACGACGACGACGACGACGACGACGACGACGACGACGACGACGACGACGACGACGACGAGCGCAGCCACGGCGGCAGCGGCGAAACGCTGCCGACCTCCGCGCCGCCGCTGAGGGCCGCCGAAGGCCGCCGAGGGCCGCCGAGGGCCGCCGCGCCGAGGGCCGCCGCCGGCGCGCCGCAGCGCGGGCCGCCCCGCTGGGCGCGCGGCTCCGCCCACTCGCCGCGCAGCGGCAGGGGCTCGGCAGGCGGTGGGGCGTCCTGCGGCGCGGGCGCCTGGCCGGCGGGGCAAGGGCCGCACGGTGCCACCGCGGCCGTGGCCGTCGCCTTGGCCGTGGCCGGGGCCGGGGCCGTGGCCGTGGCCGTGGCCGTCGCCGTCGGCGCCGTGGCCGTGGCCGTAATTACAGCAGGTTCCTGTCGCGACGACTTCGGCGTTGGTTCTTGACACCGCGTGGAACCTTCGACCACGAACGATCCGCAGCATGTCGATCGCCGGATCGTTCCACCCTGGCCGATCCTGAGCCACTGGCGGTTTTCAACCGTGGACGCCCGCGGCGGGGCTTGCCGCCGCGCGGGCCCAAAGAAAACCTACCGTAGCCGTAATTAGCCGCCGCCGTGCTCGTCGCGGCCCTCCCCGCCTCCTCTCCTTGCGACAGGGTCACCACGGAAGGGTTCGAGCAACTTTCGGCCTGCGGGGGCCCTCGCCAGGCCCCGGGACGGTCAGAATCCGACTCAACATGGAAATACGGTCGCGGGGAAGAGGTCTAGACCTCGGAGCTCTGGGCTCGTCGTCGGGAGGGGAGAGGGCAAAGGGAGGGGAAAGGGGGGACCCGACCAGCCCCTCTGGGCAGGGGTGATTTAACGCGTACCTCCCGCTGGCTTTCTGATGGCCACTGCTCTGGTTTATCAGCACCCCGAAAAGCACCTCCTCCCCCACACGACCGGCCCACAGCCAGGGTCAACGCCACCCCCCCATCACCATCCCCGTCAACAAGAATTCCAATCCATTTTGCAGTAAAGTATGGATTTTCTTCGGGAGCCTGGCGATTACTTCATATTGTTTTTCCCGACCATGCTGCGGTGTTGGGTCCTCGCTTTGAATCCGCATCGCCCCGCGACTGAGCTTCCTCACATCCTTCCCCTCCTCCCCTCCTCCTGCCTATGCCCTCTGCGTGTCTCTGCTTTGGCACACCCCTCACGCAATTCGTAGCCCAATCTGTAGCTTGTCATGTATAGTCGAACCAAAGCAACTTTTGAAGTATTTGTGAGGCTCTGTGTACCCACCCCCGCGGACCAAGCGCACCCATTCTGACGGGGTGCATCTTGCCCGGGGACGCGCCTGCCTTAGGGCACAAGATGCCCATCACACGGCTTACACCAGTCAACGTTGCACGGCATGAAACATGCAATACTATCGTGCGTGACCCCATGTCAAACGACCCCGCCCGCAGGCCGAGGAGCATTGCACTGGTAGACCATTCGCCGTTCCACCCCATGCCCCTTGACTTCTGCTCTCAGGGGAGCACAGGCAACCGGGCAGATTGATCGTGCCGGCGTGGAACACGCACCCGCGTTGAAGCCCCTGTCGTGCGCCTGGAAATGCACCCGCGTTGAAGCCCTCGTCGCTCACCACCTTGTCGGTCTCATCAACCACCACATCAAACAGTCGGGCGGAAGACGAGCCACAGTTGCCAGAGTGCTGCTGCATTAGGTGTTTGATGCAGCACGCTCGTCGCGAGACTCTGTTCTGCTGCTTCGGCGGTGGACAAACATCCCTTTAGTAAACCTCCCCTCAATGAAAACGGCCTGGGACCGAAACCGACGGAGCTGGACCCGCAAAAATGACGGCCGCGACGCCCTCTCGCAAACCGATAACGGCCAATTCCTTAACCGACGTGTCAGGGTAGGAGGTCTATTAACCTCCGACTGGTAAACTCTAGCTTGCCAGATCTACACCAACCACGGCAATGCTTGAGATATTTGTGAGGTCTGGTGTGCTCACCCCGCGGGCCGAGCGCACCCATTCTGATGGGGTGCCTCTTGCCCGAGGACGCGCCTGCCTTGAGGGCTGCAGGCAGAACAACGTGCTCACTACACGTTGAAGAGCACAAAATACGCAATCACATCGTGCATCACCCAGTGTCCAACGACTCCATAGGAAGCTTCACTAAAGGCCCCAGCAGAAGGGTCCGCATGCGATCACGGACCCATTGTGGCGCAGCCCTTCACACGTTTCGCGACCCCATAGGGAGCTCCGCCGAAAGCACCAGTTGCAACACACGCATGCGGACTCGGGTCCACGTTGGCACACCCCTCATTCGTTTCATGGCCCGATGGGAAGCTCCACCGAAGGCCCCAGCGGCAGCCCCCGCATGCAACCCCGGGCTCACTTCGGCACACCGCTCACGCGCTTCGTGGCCACATAGGAAGATCCACCGAAGGCCCCACTGGCAGCGCCCGCATGCGGACTCGGGTCCATTGTGGCATAACCCTCACACGTTTCGTGGCCCGATAGGGAGCTCCGACGAAGGTCCCAGTGGCAGCGCCCGCATGCGGACTCGGGTTCGTTCTGGCACAGCCCTCACACGCTTCGTGGCCCCATGGGAAGCTCCACAGACGGCCCCAGTGGCAGCCCCCGCATGCGAAGCAGGGTCCATTTTGGCACAACCCTCACACGCTTCGTGGCCGCAAAAGAAACTCCACCGAAAGCCCCTCTGGTAGCGCCCGCATGCGGACTCGGGTACATGGTGGCACAGCCTTCACACGCTTCGTGGCCCCATAAGGAGCTCCGCCGAAGGCCCTGATGGCAGCGCCCGCACACGGACTTGGGCCCAGTTTCGCACACCCCTCATGCGTTTCGCGGCCGCATAGGATGTCCCACCGAAGGCCCCACTGGCAGCGCCTGCATGCGGACTCGGGTCCATTTTGCACACGACTCCCATGCTTCGTGGCAACCCCCCCCCCAGGGGCCACGCCACATCCGCCGACCAGGGTGCACCACCCCCTTCTAGAGCCCAAAAACGTGCAAAAACATATGGAAAATCCATGATTTGGGCCCTTGGGCCCCTGGGGCATCTTGGGGGTCCAAGAGTGCGTCAAGACTGCTCAAGATGACCTCAAGACGGGCCAAGACGACCCCAAGACGGTCCAAGATAGCCCGAAGAGGGCCCAAAAAAGCCCCCAAGAAGGCCCCAGAGGCCCCAAGAGGACCCCTAAGAGCACCTCCAGATGCCAAAATCATTTTTTGTCCTTAGGTTTTTGACGGACTTCAGCCTTCTCGTCTTTTTCTATCCTTAGAGGTCCATGACGGCCCGAGCAGCATCCAAAATGGTCCAAGGACGGCACCAGAGGCCCCAAAGAGGACCCCATGACGGCCCAAGAGGTCCCCGAGACGGCCCAAAGAGGCCCCCAGAAAGCCCCTTAGACGGCCGAAAAGGACCCCAAGAGAGCCCTAAGGCGGCCGCGAGAGGCCCCCAGGATGGGCTCCGAAGGAGCCAACCGGAGCAAGAGCGCCGCAAGGCGGCCCAAGACGCCCCCAAGAGAGGCCCCAAGAGGCCCCAAAGAAGCCCCCAAGAGGCCCCAAGAAGCCCACAAGAGGGCTCCAAGAGGCCCCGGAGGGGCTTCCACCAGGCCCCACAACGTCTGGACTGCACATGCTCCAGACGTGCACCCCGCGAAGCGAGAGGAATCGAATAAGGCATCCTGGATAGAACTCTCGGGCGCAAAAGCCTCTCGGGCCCATTGTGGCACAGCCCTTCACACGCTTCGCGACCCCATGGGGAGCTCCGCCGAAAGCATCAGTTGCAACACACGCATGCGGACTCGGGTCCACGTTGGCACACCCCTCATTCGTTTCATGGCCCGATGGGAAGCTCCACCGAAGGCCCCAGCGGCAGCCCCCGCATGCAACCCCGGGCTCACTTCGGCACACCGCTCACGCGCTTCGTGGCCACATAGGAAGATCCACCGAAGGCCCCACTGGCAGCGCCCGCATGCGGACTCGGGTCCATTGTGGCATAACCCTCACACGTTTCGTGGCCCGATAGGGAGCTCCGACGAAGGCCCCAGTGGCAGCGCCCGCATGCGGACTCGGGTTCGTTCTGGCACAGCCCTCACACGCTTCGTGGCCCCATGGGAAGCTCCACAGACGGCCCCAGTGGCAGCCCCCGCATGCGAAGCAGGGTCCATTTTGGCACAACCCTCGCACGCTTCGTGGCCGCAAAAGAAACTCCACCGAAAGCCCCTTTGGTAGCGCCCGCATGCGGACTCGGGTACATGGTGGCACAGCCTTCACACGCTTCGTGGCCCCATAAGGAGCTCCGCCGAAGGCCCTAATGGCAGCGCCCGCACACGGACTTGGGCCCAGTTTCGCACACCCCTCATGCGTTTCGCGGCCACATAGGAAGTCCCACCGAAGGCCCCACTGGCAGCGCCTGCATGCGGACTCGGGTCCATTTTGCACACGACTCCCACGCTTCGTGGCAACCCCCCCCAGGGGCCACGCCACATCCGCCGACCGAGGGAAAATCCATGATTTGGGCCCATGGGGCCTCTTGGGGGTCCAAAAATGCATCAAGACTGCTCAAGATGACCTCAAGACGGGCCAAGACGACCCCAAGACGGGTCAAAATGGCCGCACGAGGGCCCTAAAAAAGCCCCCAAGAAGGCCCCAGAGGCCCCAAGAGGACCCCCAAGAGCGCCTCCAGATGCCAAAATCATTGTTTGTCCTTAGGTGTTTGAAGGATATTCGCGTTATCATCCTTCGAGGTCCATGACGGCCCAAGCAGCCTCCAAAATGGTCCCACGACGGCATCAGAGGCCCCCAAGAGGACCCAAGACGGCCCAAGAGGGCCCCGAGACGGCCCAAAGAGGTCCACAGGACGGTCCAAAAGGCCCCCAAGACGGCCGAAAAGGACCCCAAGAGAGCCCTAAGGCGGCCGCGAGAGGCCCCCAGGATGGGCTCCGAAGGAGCCAACCGGAGCAAGAGCGCCGCAAGGCGGCCCAAGACGCCCCCAAGAGAGGCCCCAAGAGGCCCCAAAGAAGCCCCCAAGAGGCCCCAAGAAGCCCACAAGAGGCCTCCAAGAGGCCCCGGAGGGGCTTCCACCAGGCCCCACAACATCTGGACTGCACGTGCTCCGGACGTGCACCCCGCGAAGCGAGAGGAATCAAATAAGGCATACTGGCCTCTCGGGCGCAAAAAGCTGCACCCCAGAGGCCCTCGACATCGAAGAGGCCGCAGGAGGAGGAGGACGAGGGAGGTAGGAAGAAGAGGCAGG